TACAAGCAATTATCAGTTTTAATTTCTAGATTTTATCCAAAATCTCTTATATATCAGTTGTAAACAGATTTTGTTAATTACACAATACTTACCATACGAAAAAAATCTGTCATATTTTCATGATATGCAGTCATAAACTTAGGTAAATATAGATCCATATCTTGCTCAAATTTGTTTGTGTATGCAGTTCTAATTGATTCAAATTCGAAAAAGTTAAGCTTTTTTTCCAAGTACTCCAGATTCCCAGGTTCCATATTTTTATTTGGCAAAAATATAATCATTGTAACGTTGTTATCCTGTAAAATTATATTTTGATTCAATATTTAATTCTTGATGTTCTATAAAATTATGTTTTGATTTATTATCTTATTTTCGAAAGTTATCTTATAAATAATAATTATTTACCAAAAATGGAATTTCAATGAACTTGGCATTCCAATGTGGTATTTCACCATGAATAAATGTCGATTTTTCAAATTTCATTGTTGGAACAAAATACATTTTTGATGGAGAAACATGAAATATGCGTTCCTCTAGGGATGTGCGATCTCGATTCGATTCTGCCAAGATCGATCCAAAAGGTCCAAAAAAAGTTGAGTTCAGCCATCTACTATTTAGGTAAACAATATTTACCAACATAACTTTTGTACCTTTGTCCACATTAACTATTCATATAAAGTATATTGTTGTTAACAATGTGTTTTGCATAAACTATAATTTATTTATATTTAATTGTGTCAAACATTTATACAATATACCTGGAGAAATTACGTGTTTTAACATATTATAATTTGTTGCTTTTTGGGCCCATAAATTTATAGTTTCTGCAACATGTGTGTTATTGCTGAAATCTACTTTTGAAATCGAGCAATTAAAGATATTTATGCATATTGATGAGAAGTCGGCTGTTAGCTCAATTGAATTCTGAACATATACTGCAGTTTCTAGATGCAATTCGATGTTTCCGATACCCTAAAAACATATATAAATATATCATTATTCAGAAAAATTTTGTACTATAATATCTTTATCTTACATTTAAGTAAGTAAGATTAGCTAAGTATCCGTTTAAAGATATTTTCTGATCGTCAGTAATACCCAAATTAGACATCAATTCATTTTCTGTCGCTTCTTTAGCACCGTTTAAAAGTAAGGAAGTTATCATACATATATTTGTAAGACTATTTACTATGTTTTTTATGTTCATCAATTGATTCTGTGGCAAAACATAAATTAAAAATTAGGCAACTCAAAACTTATATAAGATACCAATACATCGGTTACATACTATATACGATGGTTCTTTTAGACTAGATACATCCTTTAATTCTACATATGTTATAATCGCTGAAGATAGATTTTTATAAGTCTGGTTGTTAAATGACATTGATGCACCGAAGGCACACACAATGTTAGCGATGATGATCGCAAATAACGCTGTAAAGGGAATATGTTCGTTATAAAATTAGGAAGAAGCGGTTATTTCAGAGTATATTAATAATTTATGACTCAGCTACTGAAATTTATATTATATATATGAAGAACTATATGTATAATATTATTATTATAAGAAACATTATTTAATAGTGATGTATTATTACCTGTATGCATTGTAACACAAAATTCAAATTCTATGATATATATGTATAAAAAATATAAATATATATCGAGTAAATTGAAGG